GGCTAAGACTTTATTCTAAGTTCTAAACAACTGCAATCTATTAACAAATTGTGATTTCTTAAAAGACAGGTGACCAGAAAGAAAGCAGGATACAGATACAAATTATTTCAAATTTTCATAAAGAACTAAATTGAAACATAAGCTACCTAGTAGATGAATCACTTTAAAAATGTTTTTACAAACAGGTGTAAAACACATGCTTTTACAAAAGTGTGTGTATACACACACATAATCATGTGACACAACTGCAGGTAGAATACTATGTTTGGTCAAACTAGAAATATGAAAGAAAAAACAGAACAAAATTTATCTTAATTGTGTTAATCATGAAAATGTTAGTCTCAGTAACTTGAATCCATGTGACAATGAAGAAGGGAAAGGACAGGAATTCAAACAGCTGACACAATGATCAGCAGCAACTGACAGCATCTCATATGATATTTGATATCAAGCACTAGATCAATATTTGTGAGATCAATGCAATTTTAATGGTTTTCTTTCAAAACTGTATGAAAGCCAAATTGTGACACTGTGCTAGGGTTATTTTTAGAGCTGGTTATTCCAGGGGATGATATTAAGTAATTTACTGAGGCAAAGCAAAAGCAAAAAAAGAATTAAAAAACACTCACAGGCAGGCAGAAGGGGTCAATGCGGGAGGGGGGGGGCGAAGGGGACATATGTAATATTTTCAACAATAAAGATTTAAAAAACTCACAAAACACCCCCCTAAACCCACACCACCATAACAAACCATTAATATTTCTTAAGTTGATAAATCCTGATTATGTAAGTACCCAGGAAAGTTATAAACATTTATTAGGAAAACATTGATGATTAAAAACAAACAAAAAATAAACCTTTGGAAAAAATATTTGGAGGTACATGAAGATGAACTGGATCAGAGATACTTTTTTCAGACACAATGGGATTAGGTGGCACTTGAGCCAAAAGAAATGAAAAATGATAAAAAGAGAATATCTAGGCCTTTCAGCTCTAGGGTCAATCCCTTCATGTGTGGAATTCAGTGGGAAATAACAGATTTCTCTGTGCCCAGGCAGAGTATAAAACTGAGAGCCTTCCGTGAAACTCATAGCCAGGTTCCCATAAAGGTCAAATAAAGAAAAAAAAAGTAATTAGGTATACATGTCGCCTATTACTTCCCCTTTAAGAATTTATACCTTAAAAAATAGAATGCAAGTTCATCTAACTCAGAGGCACATAGGTCCTCAACCTATAAACCTTTAGTCATCTAGGAGGATTTTACTAGTACTTTTTATCTTTGTCTTTATTTCTTAGACAGTAGCATTAATTCATTCGCTTACCAACTCATTTTGTTTGATAAAAATGCTAACCTTGTATGTATTTGTTTTTGCAGACTCAATTTTGAGGAATTTTCACCAAGAAGAATCCAAGAGCTTCAGTACAAACAGCAATTTCTGGGGAGGTAGATGATGGGGGTGGCCCAAGAGGGAGTATAACTAGGTGAACATTTCAGTAAGGTGAGATGGGGTGACTCCCCAGTAGTGTTCCTGATAAGCAGATTTTTAAACTTTTAGACTAAAAGAAAAAAAAGTCTTTCATTTGTAATTCAACTTTAATTAAAAACTTGGGGGAAATTGATTTTTTTCACTTGAAGTAGTTTAGGAAACTTCTGATACCTGACCTAAAGACCGCTCATCCTTCAAGGTAGAGAGTATTTCAAAACTATGCAATTCTTAAACTTTTCTGCTCCATGTTTCTTTTTCCTAACATTTTTCTTGATGACAGTATAATGCCTGATAAACTGTTATGATACAAACAAATCACTTCAAATAAAAGGCATTTTTATTATATGCTTTTAAATGAAACTCATATCTAAGCCCTTGTGCAGTAGAGTTAAATCATGCACCCAGTGTATTCCCGAATAGCCTAGGTAAGGTTTTATTTTCCAGGATTTTAATAACTTACAACAAACAATCACTCTCTGCATGTGTCTCTATGCTCCATTGTATTTCAAGTCTGGCAGATTGCCTACAAACTAAAGACACCAACAATTTAAATAAACTTTTCTTTAATGATATAAAGCCACTTTATACACAAACATAGATTATATACAAAGAGAATCTACAGATACAAATGAACTTGAGGCATTAAAAATTTTTATTTCAATGCCTTGCAGAATTTGAACATGAAAAATTTATTCAAAAGAAAATAAGTTTACAAACAGTCCTGATGACCAACATACATTGAGTACCTACTATGTTACAGGTACTGAAAAGACATACTATATATATTATCTATTTCTGGTGAAATGGGCATATGCATTTCATGGCTGAATATGTATACGTATGTGGCATATATACATATTTTTCTATTAGGTCTTTAACATAACCCTGAGTTATTTCAAAGAAATAAACTTTATATTCAATTGTAGTTAATTCAGACTTCATTTTGGCTAAGCATAATTTGACCAATAATTTTTCCCCCTCATAGCATGAAGGACAGTACTTAGAATTTAAAAGTTTAGTGTTCCCAAAATGCTGCTCTTCTTAAGTCACTTTGAAGTAATGCTAGTGAGTCTAAGATCCAGATCTACATGTTAATCTCTAGTTTTGCCTTCAAACAGAATTCAGTTACAAAGAACTTGGAAAGATTTTGAATCTATTCAGGAGAGGAAAACTCTTTAATTTTCTGAGGAGTAAAAACTCCCCAAGAAACTTCATATAGCTTCTTAGATTTTGCTTAGCATACGTGATAAAACATTGATTGTTGCAGTTTGGTGACCCATGAAATTTGGGGGTTAGTTTTCTCTTCAGACCAGAGCATATAATTATGCAAATAAAGAGCTGTCACTGATCTAGTGAAATACTCACAAACACATGCACTCTGAAATTGGACAGAAAAGTGAAAATGGTTGGTGATGTGATGGTGCCATGATTTGTTTTCCTGCCAAGTTTCTATCCAAGTTCATTATTCAAATTGTAAACTTTAAAAGAGACATATCATTCTTAGGGTGTTGGTTGTCTTTTCATTTCAGATTCTTTGTATTGGTATTGCAGTCTGGCTGCAAAGTACAGTTCAACATTATTTTACCTATGACAGTCTCTCATATTACCAGATGTAATAGCCAAGAAAGAAAAAGCTGAATGATCTGGAAAGATGCAGGTCCTCCCTTGATTTTTTTTCCTGGAAACATGTTTCATGTCTGTTTTAAATAGAACTCAACTCCAACAATACAAAAATATAGTGATTTTTTTTTTTGACAAATCTCAAGGCAAAGGAATGGGAAAAGTTTCCTAGAAGGCCTCATGGATTAAGTCAAATTTCCATTTTCAAGATTTTTACATTCAAGGGGAAAATTCTGGTCACTGCATGATATCCACTTAATGGTCAATCTTTGAGGATGATTTTCTCCTACCTAGCAATTAAAGCCCACTATATAATATTTGGTGACTTTAACCTTTATGGTTCATTTACAATTACTGCTCCTCTAAAACCTTTGTGCTAAGAATTAACAAGAGTTCTTCAATCTAACCATGCTCTTTGGCATTGAGGTCTCCCAATTCCAAAGTTACCGTCGCACAGGCTGTTGCATAATTTCAGATGTCATGGAGAGTCCCACTGATGAAATCTGAGAAGGCTCATGTCAGACCACTGACTGCTAAAGACATCACTACATGAAAGATCAGTGATGTGAAACTTTAAAAACATCGATCCAAATGAATCAATTAAATCAACATTCATCCCTCCTAAGTGTGAGGTTTAAAACTATCATTGTTGCTTTTTTTTTATAACCCTACATAGATTTTGAGATAAGCGCTGGAATGCTTTGATGGTTACTTCTATTCTTGAATCTCCGTTAATCGACTTTGTGCTATTTCCCTCTTTTCAACATCTTCCACTTGGTGTACATTCTTTACTTTTAGTACAGTGCTTGACAGTTGCAATGCTTTAAATCTAAAACCGTCTAACAAAGCTGACACTTTAGGTAGGGTAGCTTTAAGCTCTGTGAAGTGTTGATTAAAAACCCTTTCCCAGACTCAAACTGATCTTTTTGGAGATTAATAGAATATTAGATAAAAGGAAGACGAACAATTCAAGAGACTCCCACTCGGTCACTCCATACAAGGAAGGAAGGAAGGAAAGTATTCAATTTTTGAAAGCGAGTACCTCCTGGAGTCTTTTATTTTATATTATTACAGCCCCTATTAAGTAATCATAAAATAACCACCACTACTTTCCCTCCCTTTTCTGGCCACCCATATTTCAAAGATGAGAATATCACACATTTATTTAAAGACTTTTTTTTTTTCCTCTACAGTGGCATAGGCAAAGTTTTGGAGAAATTTTTAGGCTTTCTGTAAAGTAATATTTCTTAATGAATCAGGATTACAGACACCAAAATGAACCTGCCAATTTACAGTTACAGACAATGATTATGAGGAGACACAAATGTTTGGATTGAAACTCAGATAATCCAAGAAACATTAAAAAAAGCCAAAAACAACCACTAACTTATTAGCACTGATAATATAGTTAACATATTTTGTCACCCACACTCTCTCAAAGGAGTTATAGGTTTTGAAGAAGGAAAAGCTGTAAAATAAATGTAAGAAAGATATTTTCAGATTAGACTGTGTAATACATCAGGGATTTATATTGGGATTTGGGAACAATTTAATCTCGCCACACTCCTTTTGGAAAACATAGTTGTTTACTGTATACTAAGGTGTATTTTATAAAATGATTAACAATGGGTTCAAATTTCCTTGTAGCTAAGGAGATATTTTAGATATTAAAAACAAATGTATTAAAAAATGGTAGCTTTGTGAAAGGTCCAAGCCAAATAGTGACTCAACCAGAGTTAGGATATTATCTTACAGCAACAATAATAGTAATACTAAACAGCTATAAGGTTTAAAATATTGATGAATGGTATCCCATCATGCAAGTTTCTGCTTTTATTAACATCTACACATGAATAAATGAACTTTTGAACAAGAATAACACACCACTGCTTGTTGGGAAAATTGTTTTTATTTTAAAATGGCAAACAGAAATATATAATATATAGGAAACTCCTGTGCTTTACTTTTGGTATACACAATAATGTAATCCAGGTTGAAGCACAAGGTGGAAACTTGAGAAAAATACAATTATTACAAGTAGACTCCCCCCGTCCCCTTCAAATATCATAAAAACTTTTAATGGCTGCCTGGTTAGGTACCTTTAGAAAGTTCCAAAGCATTGCAATATCTAGCTTTTTAAGTTTTAACAGGATGATTTTGAATCTCAGATTTATCAACAACTCTGCTCCCCATTCCACTTGCTGTAAGAACCGAGTATATAATTAAAAAGAAAATCCACATCCTAAATGTAAACCTCTACTCTCCAAAAAAACACAAAACAAACCCTGTCTAAAGAAACCAAATTGGGGAGATCAGAGCAAAAATATTAACACTTGTCGCCTTGAAGCAGAAGAGCTGCTACCAACTGATCATTGTTACTCCAGCAAAATTGTGGTGAAGATATTATTACATTTATACCAACAGACCTATAATCAACAGGTTAAGAAAGCCTACATTGCAAAGAATCTTCTCAGTTATCAGTTGGAGGTCTGGGATGGTTTGCCTAGCTCTCTTCCGGTGGCCACAGCTCAGATTCACAGGTAGAAATTACATTTACACAGCTTAAGATTGCAAATAGCTCTATAGATAGTTAAATAAGGCCTAACAACCCGGTAGTTTTAAACTATTAAAGGCAATTTAACAGTGATTTACTCTAGTTAAAAGTAACGGTTTTTTAAGAAGAGAGGTGAGAAAATCTAAGAAACAGGAGTGATTTGGTTTATAAGCTGAGCATATTTACTTTGCTCTAATTCAGCTGCAGAAGCATCACAAATTTAGCATCTCATAAGTGCTGATTTTAAAAAAAAGGCAACAGAATTAGTTTCCCGTGAATATTTTCATGTTTTGGAAACACAGTTTATAACACTTTGAAAAATATATTCAATCTACATCAATTCTCAAATCCTCTCAATGGAAGTTACCTCTTTCATACAGTTCACCATTACTTCTAGAATAGAAAAGACTGCAGACCGAAGGGCTTGGCATTGTTGGGGTTACACATTTTAACTTATCCAGAAGCTAGATAATATGATGTTTTGATTTTTCCTATGTTGTTTCTAAAATAACTCGGAAAGTATATGCATATATGATCATTGAAAAATATCACTTTAATTTGCCATTCTTAAAACTACATGAACTAGTAACTATATTTGTATACCAAAGATGTTATCAATTTTAAAACGTTGCTGAAATCAGTTCATAATATAAAAACATTTGACTCATGAGGTGGTTATTTTAAGTTATTTTTTTTCTGAGGAGGCAGACAATTCTAAGTCATTTTGGGTACATTTTATCATGTCCTCAAGTAAGGCGGTCATATTGTTGCATATACTTCACAAACAAATGAAGATTAAATTCAGATCCTCATCTATTAGAAACAGAATCCTCACTAGGTAATTAAATTCTTCAAGTAATTAAAATGATAATGTTAAGATTTAATATTTGATGTAAAAGTCAGCAAAATCTTAACTTATTTTACCTCTTATATTTCACAGTGTTGGCCAGATCTTAGCTGGATTAAAATAGTTAATAGCTGAAAGTGTAGGGCACAACCCTACAGAGGAAGTGGACTGCTAAAAGTTGTATCACTGGATTGAGAGGAGAAAAATCTTTCACAGCAGGTCTTTCCCTTTCTGTTGGAGCAGAAAACTAAAAGAATCATTTTAGCCCACTTAGCCTTCCAGAAGGAAAGGCTCAAGAGTACACGGGTACATTTTCCCGATGACGATAAAAATTCTGTCCCTAAAAGGGTCTAACTCCATGAAAGATCAGAATAGATCATTCTAGTCAGGATTAACAAACTTTACCCACATTAAGATTAAAAAAGCAAAATTTAAGTATGCTATCTAAATTACAATGCCACTCAATATACATTATATTTTAAAAAGTAAAGTCAATTCTAATGATAAAGTTGGAAATTCCATTGAAAAGGGGGCCTTCACACATGTACTTAAAGATTTGTTCCACGTTATGTTTTAGAGACTTGTGTAAAAAATGTCATATTCAACTGGCAAAGATTTTCAGCGGTAATGTGCATTCAGTACTTCATAGATTTTTTTATGCAAAGTTTTTCTTCTGGTCTGGAAATGAAAATAGATCGTTAGGGAGAGAACCATTTGCGCTCCCCAAACTACAATACATCATGGCATTCATGCTCTGAATTTAAATTTGGCTTTTCTGGGTGTGAGGGGGCAACTTCCTTAAAAAAGGAGGCCTAAGACGCCCTCAGTGAAAAACCTACTGAAAAGGGAAGTTTGAAGTCTAGAATAAAAGTTTGCTTCTGCTGGGAGAGGGGAAAAAAATAAACGTGATTAAGGGGGGCCTGGCCGGGGCGGGGAGGCAGCGCGAAGCCGAGCTCGGCCCGCAGGAAGCAGACCGGTGAACCCATATTGCTTTGACAGTTGCACTCATCTAGAAATAATGCAAAACGCTATTTAGATGTATATATCACGACCCTGTGCTCTGGGAAGAAAACAATCTAATGAGGGGCTGGGCGTCTGCTCGCTGGCGACGAGCGGCGAGGGGCCGGCGGTGCAGGCTCGAGTGTGCGTCCCGGCGTCCCGCCCCGTCGCGCTCGCGCTGCTCTTACAGCTCTTCGTGCTTGATGCGGTGCGAGCGCCGCGCCAGCGCCGGCTTCAGGGAGCTGCTCTTGGCCTCAGAGGCTTCGGCAAAGAATTTGAAAATAGACGGGAAGCTCTTCCAGGAAGTGAGCTCGTGACGGTCGGTGCCTGCAAAAAACACAGACTCGGTTACGAGGGGCCTCGTTCCGAGCCGAGGCGC